GAGGCCGGCGCGAAACGAAGAAGGTGACGTGGGCGTGGAAGTGTTTTGCATCATTGGTTGCATGCTGGGTGAGAGTGGGGAGGTGATCGGGGATGAGGCGGATGGCCTTCTATGTATATTGGAAGAGTGCCTGCGGGATGACTGCGATGTACGACGACGGGGAGGATGTCGAATGGAGAAGAATTTGTAAGAAACGAAATGATAAATACACTGTGAGAGTTATGAGTTGTGAATGCAGAAATAGGATTGGAAAGGGGACTCACGAGGATCACCAAAGTGATACATAAACGAGCAATCGATGCCCCTAACCAAATCCCCCACGCTGGCGAGGCTTTTCCACTACATTGACCTCCACTTTCCTCCCAAACAACATCAATATCCCAACGACACCTTCCTTCCAAACCCACACCGGCATCCTCTCGCCTCCCCTTCCACATACAGACCAAAACCAGGTTCACCAGCGCCGGGCCGAATAGAAATACAGATGAACAATAAGGTAGGATAAATTGTGTAAAGAGCGAAAAGACTGTTGTGGATGGACGGCGGGTCCAAAAGTGTGGGGCGAATCGGTAGAGGAAAGTTGACGCTAGGAGAAGGGCTAGGGAGAAGGCTGTGCAGGTTCCGAGGACGAGGCAATAGATCTGAAGAGTGGAAGAGGGAGTTGTGGCGAAGGTGATGAAGTATCGGACAGTATTGTAGATTGCCCAACCGCCTGAAATAATATTATCTGAGCATATATGCTATCCAAATGACAAGTCCGATGCAGGGGATTATTATTTCTGACGCCATCAGCGCAACCACTCCAGGAACAGACCTCGGAAGGTTCAAGAAGCCCAACTTGCCGAGAGAAGGAAGGTAAATCCTGCTACCGAATAGCAAAAACCCAGACGGGTAAAGTTGGCGGCTGACCCATCGGTGATGGTTACTTGCTCCGAGCATAGCATACCCTCCTGATGAGAACGAGCCAAGCTCACAGCTTCTGTGGGAAATATTGGACTAATCGCCAGCTCCACGCGAGAGAAAGAATATGGTGTGCCAACCCCGAGTACGCGTCTCGCAACCAGAACGACAGACTAAATAACGAAGATTCTCACCTATGAGAACTTCTAGACCCACTTTCACGATTTTCCATCGCTTCAGCTTCTCCCTCAAGTGGCGCTGCCTATAGCCCCTAGCCTCGGTAGCAGACACCGGTTCTCTTTCTAGCTTCAGAGCAGAGTCCCAGCCAGGCTGTGGTCCACTAGGATGAGAAGGTTGACGAGAGAGCAAGTCGTGATATGCCGAGGACACGGAATTATTGGAGTGAAGGAGGGGTTCTGTAGGGTGTGAATGATGTGTTGTCACAGTTGTCAGAGTAGCGATTGAGTGAGCGGATGGTTGTCGTTGGTGTGATGGAGTCCGACCACTGCTCTGTGACCGCTGTGGACCCAGAGTGCTTGACGAGGCCTCCGGAGAGAAGAGAGCATTGTGGAGGTACAATGCTGCCATTAAATACGACCCATAGATAAAATGAACCAGCAGCAGGGAGGTAGACGCGATACGCAAGACGTGGACGAAGTTTAAGTCGTTAAACCTTGGCGCAGGTTGTACAGCGCAACAGATGTCCAAGAAAAATAGGGTGCCGTAACGTCGTGAAGGGTCTGATCAAGAACAGAAATGTTTTGTTGAAAGTTCGGGCGCTTATGAAGTCAACCCTATGGGTGTTGATAGAGAAGTCCGAAAGCGGTTGCCCCGACATCATAGGGGGGCCACTTTCAGGGGTTCCATCACGGGTACCCCAGCAGAGAAAAGACATCCAATCGGAGAGCACAGTTGTCGCTGACGTCCTAGGTACTCAGCGGCGCCAGGATGACCAGACGGACAGTGCAGAAATCACAGCGCAAACCAAGGTGAAATTGTTGTCGATCTACTCTATTAATATTTGTCGTATTTGTCGGCCGCCAATCTCTCGACTTGGGGTGCGTCATCGCTCGCTGAGCTTCACCGAGGGTTGGAAATCATCGTACTACATATCAGCTTGTCGATTGGCAGGTAGCGTTGATTGGTACAAGTGAATATAGTCCGAAAGTATGACATACAGTGGCGCGGGATCCCAAGAAAACGTCGAATTTCCCGAGTGAAAAGCAGTAGCGTCCAAGAACGCAGTCTACACTAGCGAACTAAGTAGCAGGACCAATGGCTCCGGTAGCTTGAGACTCGAGGATGAAGCGATCTTGATGAACCACAAGGTCATTGGCAAAGAAGTTGAGTTGGCGTCCAGCGAGTTCGGCGTCGTTGTGCTGGGTTTGGACGAGTTGCTTCAACCTGCGGACTTCTTGCTCCACATCCAACTCTTGTTTTCTGACTTCGATTTCTTCCTTCCTCACCTCGAGTTCTTGCTTCTGGAATTCAATTTCTTGTGAGCGAGCCTCGAGCTCTTGCATTCGAACCTTGATTCCTTGATGTTGAGTCACGGCAGCAAAACCGAGGACATGTAGCTGTGTGGTCATCTTGACATCGGGAAAGGGACCCTTCATCCTCATCGCGTCATTCATTTGCTTCATGTATGCTTCATCGAACTGAACCGAGACGAGAGTCAGTCACGAATTCAACAGAAAAAGATACGCACATCGACGATCTCGTTCTCCTCATTGGCAGATTTATTGACCGCTCCAGCCTTATCTTTCGTCGTGGCCTTTTTGCCGCGTCGCGGGCCCTAGAAGCACTATATGAAGGTAAAAGGTAAAAGGGTAGACGACACGAGAAAAGAGTACCTTGGTGGCAGTTTGAGTGTTATCCGACACGATTATGAGCAGGCAAAATACAAATAGTCAGGCGTCACTTGCCGTGGTGGGCATGCTCATGGCGATTTTCTTACTGGCCTCAAGGATTCTTTGGGCCGTCGTTGGCCTACCTCTTCTCTTCGGTTTAATCTTTGGGTTCTCCATTTCTTCCATCACTTCATTATCTTCTTCGTTGTTGGAAACAACAATCTGGGGCACATATATGCCTCAAAACAAGTGCAATAGAAAGTTAACTCACGGGTTCATCCAGAGGGACTGGCACCTCGACGTCGTTGGTTTCGGCAGAGGGTTTCGCTGCTTTGAGTCGTTTGGGAGGCTTGGGCTGGTCCTGAATGATGGAGTTGTCTACCTGTGGGCGCTTCGATCCGGATGCCGCTTCAGTGCTAGATTGATCGTAGTCGTCAGCGAGGGCAGACTATATGCTATCAAGTTGCAGCTAACCCGTGTCCTACATCCTGAGTAGCAATATTTGAGGCTGTTCCACCTCTCAAAGCGGAGCGTGCCTCGACCAATCTGCGTTCCCGTCAGCAAGCAGTACGCTAACAGAAGGGAGTATTGAAACTACTCTTGTTCTCGCATCTCTTGGCGCACGCGGGCAAGCCTAGAAATTAAGCGGTCAGCATTAGGGACATGACCTGTACAGATAGAACATACATCACGTCGAAATGCTCCTCGGGCGGCCTGGTAGCGATGTGGAGCTCAAACCGATGCCCTGCTTGCTTTGCAGTCAGAGTGGGCTCCGCAGCTGCAAGGTTTCTGGGTAAAAATGGTGATTAAAGCCTTAGGAGGTAGGGTTTTAACAAACATCCTTACACGATAAAAGCGACACGCTCCTCTTCCAAGTTGTCCATGTCTTCCGCGATACTCTCGATCACCGCCTGGTATGCCTTGTCTTTACATTTTTCCGCCCACTCGACTTCACGTTTCCTGGGTTGACGTGGCATGACCCGTAATATTCGTGTTGAAGGTGGGATCCCAGGTAGTTGCTCGGGGGAAGGGCAAAGAGAAGAGGAACAAGTTAGAAACACTCGTGACAGGACGCGACATGACGCGACATGACATTGTCACATCACTGCTCCTTTCAAGTAGCCACATCCCAACTCGACTCCGATCACCTAGTTTCCGTCGCCTCACATCTATGGATACCAACAACAACATCCCTCCTCGTCCTTCAGAAGTGGTCCCGCCCTGATGTTATCATTGCTCCGCCCTCCCGTCCACCCGAGGCGTTCCTCTGCTCCAAATGTTCCGATGACGTGTCTTGCACTGTCGGCGACACTTTGAAGGACTGGAAATGTGTTCATAATCTAAATCATCATCTTGCAAGCATATTCCACGAACCAGGAACCCAGTCCATGCGTTTGGTGATGAATTGGGACTGTCGTCAATCTGCGAGTGAGTAGCCGGGGTTACTCTTACCCGTAAACTGGTACCGATTCCTCTCTTCAGACTTAAACAAGTGTCGCTTTTGTGGGCCGGAAGACCTCAATGCTGGCGATGATCGCTGGGGTGGCGTTACGTTTGGAAAAGAAAAAATCCCTTCTCATTAAGCACTTGGTCGATGAACACCCCAACCGTATCTCGGAGAAAGAGTTGACTATCCTTATCGCCGAGGTTACCAGGCATGATACGTACCAGCAAAACTTTGTCGACCCAGATCCTCTCGCGTCTATCAACGCGAGACATTCCGGCAAGCGCAGGAGTTGTGTGAGTTTGTAGACTCAAACAACGACTTCATGGACTACGGATCCCCAATTCAACTGCCATGGGATGATTTCGATGATTTGATGGACTTTGACGAGATGTGGCATGCATATGCTAGCTACTATTGCTAGACCTTGATGTATTTCCGGTCCAACTGTGATGATATCCATTTACCTCTAAGCAAAAGGCCTGTATGATAAACAACTTGCCTGTTTGCCAGTAACGAGTAACGGGAGACTCACATACCCAAATATTTGAATACATTCTTGCAGGTGGTGGTGGTGGTGGTTGGGGGGGGGTATGGCACCAAAACCCTCCCAATAAATAGAGTATATCCCTGGGTCACCACTTGGCTGCATATTAGTACATTGGAGTGGGGAGATCATACACTTTTCAGGTATTTTCCCAATAAGCAGGCTTGGTGTCGGGAACAAATCCTCGTGGTCTCCTCGTACCCGAAGTCCCATACATCATACCCATCGCCGAGGAAAAACCATGGGACGTTTTAACCTTTACCAACGGCGGGACTCGAACCCGCAATCTCACGCTCTTCAGCATACAGGTTCAATCCATCAGCTTAGGAAGCGTGCGCCTTGACCATTGGGCCACGCCGGCGTTATACACAGAGTCATGTAGTCGGACTTCAGCCACAGCTTCTAAATCGAGACTCGGCATCTTCCGTCGCCTCTCCTTCTTTCGCTAGCTTCGGCTGCTCAAGTACCTAGCCTCGAGTAACCTCCCTCCATGTCGACCAAAGCCCTCAGCAATGGCACTCTCAGCCTCCGTTTCATGCAAAACGCCCAAAGGGCGAAACATCTAGCCCAAGTCGAGATCGAACAGGCACAAGTGAAGGATGAATCAGAGTGGGAAGTTTCGAGAGAGGTGAAAGAGGCTTGGGAAATTGGTTCGAGTTCTCAGCTAGGGTGAGTGAGAGAAGTCTCTCAGTTTCTCGTCTGGCTGGGCACTTGGTAAATTTGAATTACATTTCTTGTCGTGTGATCGACGGTGTTTTAGACCAGACGTAACGCATGAGCCATCATATATCCCTTTCTTGTTCCCTTCACCATCCGATGGCACTGCCTCATCTCCAATCCAGTCGGCTCCCGTCTCTGGTCAAGCCCCCGCGAAGCCAAAGGGTAGGCGAAGCTTCAATGCCCGCGGTCAAGAAGTCGTAGAAGAGGTACGCAAAGTTTCATTCCACCAGTGCCTGCATCCCATTTACATACCCCCCGGCCCGGCAATATTCCTATCAGATCTATGTTCCTACCGAACCTCCACCAGATTCTGGTGACGAGAAGGGAGGCCGTGGTTCTGACTGGTCCAAAACATCCAAGCGACCGGTCACCATCTCGGGTTCAATGGGTACGACTTTCAAGGATAGAAAGGATATCAAGAAGATGACCACCACGTCAATCGAGCAATCCAAATCATCAAAGATCCTTATTCACGAAGAGGTTAACGTTGGTACAGACATGCGCCGTCCCGGTCCTTCATCTCTACGTCATGCAGTGTACCCTTCCGGGGCACGAGGCGACTCCGGCCCTCCTACATTCCTCAAACCTTCTGGTGTGGATGCCCCCGCGAATCCCTTAATGCAACACCGCCTCAAACCCACAAATTCAATTCGGGAAGAAGGTGAAGGGAGCGAAATGATTCCGAAGTCTTCCAAGAGAGAACGGGAAGACGAGTTGGGCGGTGCCGTAGTTGCAGCAGGCGATGTGTTAACGAGCGGTGATCAGACCAAAAAACGGAAGAAGAAGAAGAAGGCGACGACCACGATGGGGTGATGATATCTCCAAACGTGCGTGAAGCTCGCCGCTCTCATGTCATTTTAAGTGTGGATTGATCATATCATACAACTGACTCGCCGTTTTCAGTCTTCATTAGCCGTATCCAATCAAATGAGCCAGTTGCGCTATGAAGCGGATATTCCCTCTACTAGTAAGCTCATTGTTGGCATGGAGCACAATAGGACCGGACCACGATTGTCAGGGTCGGGAAGCCAACAGGGAGGAGACGGTTCAGAGTTCCGTAAGGATTATAGAGACGGGTACAATGTATGTATGGACGCGCTGTATCTCGAGCCAGGAGGCTGCCGGCATGATCTACCCACCGGCCCGCCCAAGAGCTGTGATTCTGTCGTGGAAAGGAGTGGATCACCTCGGAAAGTATCTCGTGTAGAGCGTTTTCAAGTTTCTCTGGCCAATCCCCATCCACCTCCAGATGGGAGGCCACGGTCTATGCGAGAAGTTTGGACAATGGTGATCTTGATGGTTGGCCCTCTTCAATGCGCATCGTGGTCAGGATCCAGAGCTCGTCGACTCTTGTTTTCCCCATACCTCGGGCGAATTTCGGGTCGCATCGGCCAACAGTGCTCAAGATATCCGTTTGAACGCATCAAAGGTTGTGGCACGCAAGATGTTCGGCAGTGCCGACGCAAGAATTCGTCGGTCGGCTAGGAAACGTTGGGAAACAAGACTGAAACAGAGTGAAACGCGCCTGTAAGTTTGGCCGACCCAGGGATGCGTCGATGGACGGCCCAGCTACAAGTTTTGTTGTCGATGGGGTTGATTTGAATGATGAAAAACGCGTTGCTGCGGGCGTTATAGTTTCGATGACAAGATCAGTCCATCATCATGTCATCTCCGCACGATGAGTCTGATAAACGCGTGTTGCTGGAGAGCAGGGAGACGAGTTAACGGCGAAGTTCGAGTTAGCAATGGATTCGTCCGTTTCCATCGCTGTAGATCATACGGATCTGCGGTAAAAAGTACTCTAAGATCAGTTTCGCTTGTTCCGAGCGGGATGGATCAAGATATACAGAAAACGTGGCGCGGTGACATCCGACGGCAGTCACTTTGGCACGGTTCTATTGCTTTATGGTATATACACTTGAAGACAGGGATCCAATTAAATGGAATATATGACGGAGATGAGGGTTCAGATGGAGGTGAAGGGACACTACTAACTGCGCAAGGTCTGCTCCGCTAGGAGGACGTCAGACGCTCATGTGCGACGGGATCATGATCACCACAGCCCCCCCTCGGACCCACGAACGGTGATTGACGGTGAGTTTGTTAGTGTCAGATCGGGAATCGATCATGTTGTAAATACCAACAACTGACGAGATAGCATGGCGAGAAGCAGGTACTGGGCTTCACATGTGATGGAAATCACTGGGCTGGACTTGAACTGGAAAACAACGTGTGCGGATGCTCGCCGCACTCCATGATAGCATTTGTGCAGAATGTATGTAGATTGGACTCGCAAAAAGAGAACATGGGTCGGTGCTATAAGGGGAAGGGAAGAACACAAAGGCAGCGTTCTTTCACTGGGAAGAGAAGCATTCGGCGCCCAGATAGGCTGAGATATGAAATCTTCGCTCCGTCGATCGTTGTCGGTGATGTGAAAGACAGTTTGGGCAACTAGGCACCGGCGATGTCATGGATCAGGAAGTGTAGGGGCGTTTCGAGGTAGAAAGAATCGCCGTAATGGCCGGCATGCTCAGGTAGTCAGATAAATCTCAGGGGAAGCCAACGCCAAATTCCAGCAGGATGGCTACCCATTTGAGCACATTCTGTCAAGCACCGAACAAAGCTTGTCAAACGAGCTCCAGATGCTGTTGCCATGAGGCTCAACGACCAGACAGCTCTTTCACCTCGGTTACCTTCATCCACGTCTCATATCGGGGCACGTAATGCCTTGCCATTTTCACGGTCCTATGTCGGGAATAGCCTTGTCTCTGCCAAATCAGCGTCAGCGTGGATGCAGGATGGTACTTATTTATTAATTCTAACAATCCAGCTTCCCCGGGGTTCTCAGAACATCTCGTGACGATTTACTGTCCCCGCGCCTAATCCACTGGTATATAAGCGACGACGGCATTCTTGGATCGTTGCGACGTTATCACTCTCCCGTCTTACCCAGGCTCCCACCTTCTGCCAACATGTCTAGCTATCAGCTTCGCCCGGCATCGGTTACCACAGGTAGCTCATCCAGCATCTCACCATCCCCGCCCATGAGGTCCCCACCATCTACGGGCAAGAGTTCCTCCACAATGCCCTCTCCTCCCTCCTCTATGTCTTCTCGACCTCGAAGACCTTTATCCCCTAGTTCCTTGCGAGGTGAATTTTGCTCGTCGCTTCGTCGCAAGTCTATTCCTCACCGATACACTACAGATGTCGATCTCTCGAGTAATGCCAATCTAGGTCCTAGAATATACCCTCCTCCCCCCACAGGCCACGATCTCATGGCGATGTTCCCCCCCCCACCTCCGCCTAACTTCATGGAATCTACGAGTGGATACTTTCAACGACAGGAACGCGCCTATTTTGCGCAGAAAGGGAAGGAGATTGTTCGAGTTCAGGTAGAGCTCGACGTCCAGGACTCCGAGATGGTTGATGTGCAGGGAAGGGGAAAGTATCCGACAGTATCGCACCAGCCTCCTCGTGGGTGGCCTGCAGGTCAAAGTCCTCATCCGCAGTCCTCAATCGCCCCTGGTCCCTACGCACACCAGCAACCCTCCGCCGCATCGATCCCTCGAGTTGCTCCCCGAGGAGCACCGATCCCTATACAGCCCACTTCACCCTATTCTCACATGTCCCAGCCCCCTCACGCTCTCCCACCGCCATCCTCTCACTCGAATTCATCCCGCTCATCTAATGATTCGCCGCCCAAGTCGGAATCTCAGTCAGATGATCCAGACGAATCGTGGCGACGTCCGATACCCCATGCCGAGAGGAGGCGAGCTGGGAAGCATACGAAGCGCGTCATCGTCAAGACATGATCTGACGTTGTGGGAGAACACAAAGGTAAGCATGCCATGGTGACTGTTCGCGTACCTGAATCTGACTGTTCCCAGGTTTCATGATCTTTTACTTTTTGCTCGTTTGGTCGGGATCCCTATCATATTTAGTTTTTTAGTGGTACATACATGATTCCCATGCCAGATTTCGGTTCGTTTACGACGCGATATGATTGCTATTGCCCCCTTGGGTGCTTTTAGAACATTATTCACTCGACGCGGTTTCCCTTGCGCTGACACAATCCGAAGTCGAAGTTGGCAAGAAGATGTGATCGAGATCTATGATCGAACCCCGGCAGCTTCCCAAAAGTCAGATCTGAGCCAGATTTGCTTCCGCTAGTACCTTTTCGGGCCAAGTACTCCGGATCACACTGATTCCGCAAGGATTGATCTGCTACGGACCCGAAGGCACACTAAGGCAACACTCACGAAAAGTTGCGGGTGGGAACGGCGTGACATAACTATTCCGCACTCGCTGAGCAGGTGCAAAATGAAAGTCGACGAAGCTCAGAGTCCAGAGATAATGCCGTCACTTACACCAAGCCACGATGCTCGACAATGACCTTCGGCAACAAAGAAGGGATCCGAAACTCGCACTGTGAGCGCACGGGAGCTGTAGGCCCGATGGAATAGCCACATACATCGTGCAGAACACACCTGTATCTCGTATATCGAGTACTTCAGCACTCGTATGGTCACTGCCATGCCCTGATATTACTTGACGTAGCTATACGTCTAAGCTGCGCATGGGCGGTCCGATATCCTCGACCAGTGAAAGGCACGCATGCCCTCGGACCTGGCTGTACTGACC